CACCACCAATCGTCCCAGTCGTTTCTGTCTCAGCAGCCAGCGCTCAGCAGTCCTTCTGATGGGGAGATGAAGTCAGGTCGCCCAAAGTACACTCGCCTGTTGCTACTGCAGGCGCCCAGTCTGGTCAGTTTCAGCAGCGGCAATGGAAGCAGTGGAGGACAAGGAAAGGGCAACAACTTCTTCAGACGACTTCTCCTCTGGAGCAGGCTGCTCCTTCGCCAGCTTCGCCTTCCGCTCGCCATTCTCGCCTTTGTCTTTCTCTTTGTGATACAGTTTCGCGCTAATCAGCAGCAGTTGCCGCCACCACCGGCGCCCATTCCGCAACACTTTACCGGCGGGCTCATTCAGCAGCAGCAATCAGCAAATTATGCTGTCGCCAATTCAGCTCTGGCGGCAGCGGCAGTTCCTTATACCTATCTCAACCCTTCAACTTCTTCTTCCTCTTCCTCCTCATCTTTGGAGGAAGCTGTTGCTTCTTTTGCCGTTGGCAACAATTCCTCTTTAGCAATTCAGCTAGAGGCAGCTAATTCAGCTAACAGTTCAAGTATTAAAGACAGCATCAGCAACACAACAACAGCTAAATCAGCAGCAGCAGCTATCATGAAGAGCGTGGCAGCTCCAGCGGGCAGTAATGTGCTGGTGAATCGAGATCTTCAGGCGATGCCGTCGTCGGTGGTCGTCGGTGGACTAGTGGCAGCTTCTGTGGACACAGTTTCGGAAGTGGCAAACACTGTCGCTTCCTCTTCCTCTTCCTCCTCTTTTTCTGTGATCGTCAACAGCATTAGCAACAACGGCAGCAGCAGCAGCAGCAGCAGCAGTCAAGTGAACAAAACCAGCAACTCTTTAAACTTTTCCAGTAAGCCACCACCACCACCCCCTTGTCCGCTGATACCGTCCAAATTAGGTGAGCCCTCTGAAGACTACTGCCATTTATTTAAGTCATATTTTAACCATTTTTTTGTTGTACACACAGTGGGTCGACTGAAGGTGCTGCGTCACGCGCCGCCCATGACCGAGCTTGAGGCGCAGCTGGCGGATGTTCAGGTGGGCGGGCGGTACCGCCCAGCGGACTGTACGCCCCAGTACAAGGTGGCCATCATTGTGCCCTATCGAGACCGAGATGAACACCTGCGCACCTTTCTCTTCAACATTCATCCGATGTTGATGCGCCAGAACATCGAGTACGGCATCTTCATTGTGGAACAGGTAATTTGTTTAGTGATTGATAAGCGCTCTTGATAACATTTTAAACTGACAAACTTTTGATTTACAGTCTGGCAGTGATCGCTTCAACCGTGCCAAGCTGATGAACGTCGGTTTCCTAGAGGCACGCAATCACCTTGACTACGACTGTTTTATTTTCCACGACGTTGATCTCATTCCCGAGGATGACCGTAACCTGTACACCTGTCCAGAGCAGCCGAGGCACATGTCAGTGGCTATTGATAAGTTTAGATACCGGTAAGAAGAGATTACTGAGGAGATTGTTGATTTTGATTTGCCTGCATTCCTAACATGCTGTTGTTTGTCTGGGTTTTTTAGTCTACCCTACAAGGATCTGTTTGGCGGCGTCAGTGCCCTAACTCGAGAACAGTTTGAAACGGTAAACGGCTTTTCGAATGAGTTCTGGGGCTGGGGCGGCGAGGATGATGACATGTAAGTGATGGCAGTTTGCCACAAATGTGTTGAGTGAAAAAACTCAAAAACAAAATGCAACTGTTCTCTCTCTCTCTCTGTTTAGGTCAAACCGCGTCCGTCATCACAAGTTTAAGATTACTCGCTACAAGCCGGAGATTGCTCGGTACACCATGCTGAAGCACCAACAGGATGCGCCCAGCGCTGAAAGGTAACTGACAAAAAACTGAGCTTTGTCAAACAGGCAACAAAGTTTTACTTTTGTACTAAAACTGTACCTTATTTGTAGATACAAGAAGTTGTACAACGGATGGCGGCGCTACGATTCTGATGGCATCAACAGCACCAAGTACCAGGTGCTAGACACCTCCTTTAAGAAGCTGTACACCTGGATTCTGGTGGACATTTTTCCGCCGCCAATGGCAAAGAAAAAGGAAGAGCCGAAGCGTTCCAAGCAGATGGTGCATTCAAGGTTTTTCCGTCCGCAACACCGATACTTTGCTCGGCGGCCCATTTAACATTTTTACTTACTACCCAAAACTCGATTGTACTTAAGGGTCACTAACACAAAACACTGGTGCAATTACTTAAATAAGGACACAAACAAGTTAACTTAGGTGGTACGACAAAACATAGCCGTGCAATCCTTTCTTTTATTTATTCCTTTTCTCTTTATTTTCACAATTTTATTGGTTTTTTCTTGCTATGTTCTTCCTAACTTGCACAGTCAGTCAAATCCACAGAGAATTGCTGCTTACTTTTTACTTTTTTTCTGTTTTCATTTCTTTGTTGTTTTTGTTTTTTTATAGTGAAAAGCCACAACTTATTTTTCTTACGTTTCCTTTTCCTTGTTACTTAATGTGGTGCTATTTTTATCATCGGAATTGTTTATTTATATAATTTTTGTTATGTTATACACACACACCAATTTGTGCTATATTTTTTCAATCTTTTCTTGAAAATCCTTTAATTTTGTACACTTTATTACCACTTTATTATTACCACTACTACTTATTGATATTTTACTTTTCCTAAGTGCTTTCTTGCCGGCTCGTGCTCTACTTTTTTATCTCATTCATTCATCATTCATTTTCTCTCCTCCTCTTGCCCTTCAAATTCACAATTTTCACTTGCAATGATGCTGTTGAATAAAATTGCTTATTAACTCTAAACTACAAAGCAAGCAAAGTGGGTGAATAAATGAGCATGTTTAATGTTTGAAAACAATAAAAACGTTTTTGTTACAACTACGAGTACTGCTGTAGAAGCTGTAGCTCAAACCGCATTTTCACTAATTGTGCCTGCTAAATAATTCAGTTTCCCTATTGCAATTTTTTTATTCTGCTTTATCTGCTTTCCCACACACACGTCACAATCTGCTTTTGTTTGCTGTTTTGTAGTAGTTAACTGTTCACCGTTACCTTGCGTTTCAATTATTCAACACAACTTACAAAATATTTATACAAAATTTGTAATTTTACTCAATTATTAATCTTTTGTTGTTTTTAATCAAGAGCAGACTTTAGTAAAAAGTTAAGCAAGAATAGAATATTTTGTTACTTATCTTAGGTATGAATTCTGCACGTATATTTTCTGCATAAAAATAGTAGTTATTTCCACTTTTATTTAAAGTTTCAAAACAGACTGTTTTTAAGTTTTTAACTCTTAATTTTAGGCTAATTAATTGTCTACAACATATAGCAATAAACTTTTTTCACATTTTTATTTATTAACAAAGTAAACAATAAAAAGTTTCACAGTATACAGAATGGTTTTAACAAAGAAAAAATAACGTATACAAAGGGCATCGTATAACTGAAGTGAAACAAAATGTGTGTGTGTTTTTTCAGTTAGCTTGTACACAAGTTGTCACAGTTGCAGTTTAAAAAAAGTTGTGCAAAAGTAAGAAAAATACAGTTATAGAAACAAATGAAAAAATAAGAAGAAAAATAAGAAACCTTTGGAATACACGAAACTTATCAAATAATCACTGAGTGGGGGCCCGAATTGCCAAAACGGCAGCAGCAGCAGCAACAGCAAGACTTGGCATCACTTTGGCCCTTGATGGCACACACTCACAGTGGGTTAGTTGGCTGGTAGTTTGTTTGTACTATCTGAAAAATGATAAAAAAATTGCGAATGGAACGAGAGAGAATTGTGAATGCAAGCAACAACAGCAGCACAACAGAAAAAGTTGCTCCGTCCCTCTTTTGCCAGCTGACCAACATCATCCTCAGTTGAAGACGCCCACAGTGAGCACGTCATAGCAGAGCTCACAGACGCGACTGGGCGCCGACTTCTTCTCCTGCTGGAACTTCATAATGATCACCTCTTTGGCGGAGCAGCGACTGCACAGCTCGCGGCCACAGTGGCGACAGTGGTGGCGGCGGTTGGTCATGCCGAACTTGGCGCCACACTCCAGACACTCCGGCCCGTCGGCGCCCCAGTCGGGCATTCGGGCCAGCGAGTCCAGCAACGAGGTGAGCAGCTGCCGCGTGGGCATCTGGTGGTTGAAGAGGGAGACGCCGTGCAGGTTCCGCACGCCCAGCGCCGCGCCCCGCGCCACAATCGACCGACACAACTTCCCGTTGCCGTTCATGTACGCTAGCAGAGGAACGGGGTGGGGAGGAAATGAAAAAAGGTTAGAATCATCCTAAATCTTAAATAACCGAACTTTTGCTTACCCAAGAGCAGCGCAGTGTTGCCCTCGCCATCGCGGGCATTCAGCTCATAAGCTGCCGCCGTGCCACTTTCTCCGCCGCCGCCGCCGTTGTACAGCGTCACCAGGTGGTCAAAGATGGCCGCCGCAGAGCCCTTCTCCGGTGAGTTGGCCAGGCAGTGCAGCACCGTCTGGCCCTTGGCGTTGGCCGCCTTCAGGTCGAGGAGGCGGCGGTCGAGCAGCGCCCGACTCGTCTCCAGGTGGCCTCGCTGGGCGGCCAGGTGGAGGGCGTTGTTGCCGGCGGTGTCCTGCAGGCCGACGGCAATCTGCAGGTCCAGCAGAATCTCCACCATCTGGTGGCGGTCCAGTTCGGCGGCGAGGTGAAGTGCTAAGCACACAGTGAGTAAAAAGAAAGAAAAGGAAGTTTAGTTTTTGCTAACTACAGCCACTGCCACCCCTTCTTACCGGTCTGATTTTGCATGGTCACATCGTTGACGTTGCAGCCGGCCAGCACCAGCGTCCGGAGGATGATCTCCGAGCCGGACTCGGCGGCCAGGTGAACGGGCGCCTTCTTCACGGCGTCCTGGACGCGGGCGCCAATGTTGACCTGGTTGTCCAGCAGAAAGAGCACCGAGTCGTAGTCGGCGCGCTCCAGGGCGAGGTGCAGGTAGTTGCGGCCGCGGCCGTCCGTCTGCTCGCTCACGTGCGGGTCACGGCGGGTCAGTGCCTGGGCGCTGCTGCGCGACTTGAGCTTCACCGCCAGGGAGAAGGGCGAGTGGCCGTAGTTGTCGGTGCGGTAGAGGTCGGTGGGCGGGTACTCGATCAGCAGCTCCACGATGGCCGCCGTCTGGTTGAGGATGGCAATGTGCAGGGGCGTCTTCCCCTCGCCGTCGGCCACGTTCGGGTCCACGGAGTGCTCCAGCAGCGTCTCCACCACCTTCGCCATGCTCCAGGCGCAGGCCATGTGCAGCTACAAGAGGGAGATTAAAACGATTGAATACTTTGTATGAGAGAGAGAGAGAGAAAATTCTCTCCGTACCGGCGTCTGTCCGTCGCAGTCCTCTGCGCCCTCTCCATTGGGCCCTGGCTTCCGCTTGCACTGCGCATCACAGCCCGCCCGTATGAGGAAGACGGCCACCGCCTCGTTGTTCTCGTCCAGCGCCCGGTGCAGCAGCGTCTGCCGGAAACCGCCGCCCTCCGCCGAGGTGTGCCAGAAGTCAGTGTCTGCCCGGTGGCGCACCAGCACCGAGGCGATCTCGTTGGCCGCCTCAAAGTCCTTCTCCTTTTCTTTCTCCTTCTCCGCTTCCTCTTCAGATGTCTCTGCTGGGTTGACACCTTTGAGCGCCTGCAGCGCCTCCCAGAGGACGGGGTCGCCGTTCTTGGGCGAGCGGACGTTGACATCGGCGCCCAGCGTGCACAGCTCCTCCACCACCGAGGGCAGGCGGTGGCGGACGGCGAACTGCAGGTAGGACTCACCGGAACGCGTCTTGGCGCCCAGGTCGGCGCCGTGGGCCAGAAGAAAGTGCGCCATGGGGGCGTCACGGGCGGCAATGGCCAGGTGCAGTAGCGTCAGCCCCTGTTCGTTGCGCACGTCGACGTCGGCGCCGCCGTTGATGAGCATCTCGGCGATGTCCGTCAGCTGGTGCTGGACGGCCAGCGAGAGGGGCGTCTGCGCCCGGGAGTCCTTCACATTGAGGTCCGGCGTGAGGAGGGAGTGGTCGAGGGCGCCCTTCCGACTCGCCCGGTCGTGGTAGCTGAGAATCTCCTGGATGATCTCACGGTGGCGGCCGAGGATGGCCAGGTGCAGCGGCGTTTGGTTGTACACAACGGCGGCAGCTTTTGAGCGTGGTGCTTGTCCTGCAAAAGAATCTGTTCGCTGGTGTTCCGCCGATTCTTCTTCGCTGGCAAAAGGATCAACGGCGGTGGCAGTTGATCGGCTACCATCTTTTCCCCCCTCCAGGTCGTCGCCGTTAAAGTTGAATCCCCGTTCGGTAGGAGTGGTCGCCAAAAAGGCCAAAGTTTGCAGAAGCTCAGGCGGTGGCGGCAGTGTGCGCAGATTGCAGTTGGCATTCCGCTGCAGCAGCACTGAGACGAGGTTGCGAAAGCCCATAAAGGTTGCTAGAAAGTAACAAAAAACAACAAATGGAAACGTTAAAATGCCATTCAAACACTTTTACATCTATTCCCGGGCACTGCATTACCTAGATGGAGGACACTCTCTCCGCAGAGGTTGACGGTGTTGACGTTGGCGCCGTGTTTAACCAGAAAGAGGGCTGCCTGTTCGTTTCCGGCGCGGACGACTCGATTCAGGAGCGAGTCGCCCGTTTGCGGGTGACACCAGTCCACGCTGACGCCCGGGGCGCCGCAGTCGAGCAGTCGCTGAGCAAAGTAGTACCTGCTAGTGCTGACTATCCGGTCACTTTCAGTGGCTGCAGTGCTGCCTCCACTACCGTCCTCCACCTCCTCCTCCTCCTCCTCCTCCTCCTCCTCTTTCTGTCCGGCAGCTATCAGCTCNGGCGTCTCCTGGGCGTCATTGGCCAGCTCCAGCTGGGCCAGCGGCTGCTGGCGGAGGAGGCACTCAAAGACGGCCACATTGCGGCTGCGAATCGCCCGGTGGAGGGCACTGTCGCCGAGGGAGTTTTGAAGGTTCACCAGAGCAGTGCTGGACGGTGGCCGATGGTGAAGAGCGGAGGGTGAAGACTTTTGGAGCAGCAGCTCCACCAGCGCCACAGTGCTC